GTACTTCATATCCAGTAAGATTTATGAAAACTATTCTGTTTTTCTATTTAAAAGTGGGAATTTTCGAATATGTTAGAATCAATTTCTGTATAATTTGAAAGTAGAAAAGTCTTCCGTAATTGTTCCCATGTCGGATAATTCTGTACTGATAGCCTTAAATATTGTATATATGATATACAATTATACGTGACTTTTGAATTATCATATCAATAATATATAGCGGATATGTCACTTCTTATAAGTGAAGTGTTATCTCTAAGTTATATATCAAGATAAGTGATACAGAGTTTAAATAAATTTAGTATAGCATAGGTATATTGAGTGGATCAGTGTTTGCCTTTTTCTATACATGCAAATTATAGAGTAATACGTCCCATCTGTGTAGAGCTTAAGTATTTATTTTCATAACAATAAGAGTGAAAACCATACATGCGAAGCCCATATATTAATTTCTATAATAATGAAAGTAAGCACCATAATATGAGACTATGAATCCCATATATTATATTTTTATAGTAATGAAAGTTAGAACTTCTGTATATAGATTGCAAAGATCAAAAATTTATTTGTATTACACAACATCTTCTGCGCATGAAGAATATTCCGTAATCTAAATCGATTGTAGATTAAGACCATTATTAACCTTTATACCTTGGTTTAAGTCTTCCGACCTCCTTCGATATTTTTTCTAACTATTCGAGTTAATAGATTACAGCAAGTCTTAGAGCTCCCAAGTTCTGATTATAATTATAGATATACTACCATATCTATAACCTTTAATCTATTTGATACTAATCTTGTTGATATATAAAAAATAATATATGGTAATTCAGTCATATCGTTAAGTGCATGATTACCAAAGACATTCGATCTGGTAACAGATTCAAGATGATTGATTCTGACATTGTCTTCAAAGATTAGATTATATCTCAGTGATACTACCAATTGCTCTATGGCCAAGGTGAGATAATGGTTAAAATTGACTTGTAAGAAGATGCTATAACATATACATGATCGGCTTAAAATAAAGAATAGTATGCAATATAGCATAGGAATATTTTTACAAGCTAGTGAATAAAAACTCACCAATGTTATATTACATCTCATTACTCATTTATAACTCATTATTCATTTATGAAAGTTCACTGCAATTCGCAGGGTTAAGTGCCACAATATTTCTACATGAAATTGTAAAATTTTCTACTAATAGATATATATAAAAATAAAATGTTGAAACTGAACTCGTTTGCGCCATGATTGTCAACGAAGACTAACAAATTAAAACATAATATATTCGAATCATATCGCATCTGGACTAAGATTTACTAAATTTTGACTCAAATAGGGACCATAATAGGATTAGTTCATAAAAACAAAATATATTTTAATATAATTTGAGTGGTTCTAAAATGCACTTGATCTACTTGTGTTGAAGAATTACAATTCGTATCAGCTTTGGTTCCGCTTTACATTAAATAGAAAAATTTATTTGTAGAATCTATATCAAGAAGTGATTTAATAGAAAACAGTTAATTATTAGGAAAGTTAGTTTTTCCGTCCATATGGAAACAGCATAGAGCAGATCTTGAGATTGCCTTACTGAGATACATTTATTGCTCAAGTGCACACCTGAAGCACTTGTCGATACACAAAACAAATGACTTATCACTCGGCTAATGGCATACATCTGACACAAATTACTTCCTTTGGATGAGAGCAATCCGCTGTGTCAATCTGGAAAGCTGAAGGTTCTTTCCTTTCCTTTCGGTTTGTTTTTTTGTTTTTTGCTGAATTAATTGCCAGTTTGCGGCGCTTGTCTTGATTAAGCGAAACGTTCCTCAAACAACAGCAACAAAAGTGAGAATTTTTAATTCATTTGTTCTGCACCGAGTCTGTCTTGTTTTGGATTATTTATTCGAATGATTTTCTTCTTGTGGGTAGCCAGTCAATTGTGAATGCAAATGCTGTGAGATTCTATTGTGGCACATTTCCCACACGTTTTGACGCTAATATTGGGCGCGAATCTGGAATTGTGTGGCTTTTTGGGCAGAAATTACAAAGTGAGATAGGCAAATTTTAGGAAATGTGTAATTTAATAAAATAGAATTCTGTCAGTAGAAATGTAGAATGTTAATATGTGACTTCCATAGCTTGTGCAGTTCAAGTTGGAAACTTATCTGAAGAAATCTCAAGCAGCGTCAAAACAAGTGCAACGAATTTAAATTGAAACCAAAGCGAAGTGCAGTACAATTGCAATTCCTCATTAATTTAATATAAAAAATGCTTGAGGAATGCATATAGGGTAGCACTGGCACATGGAATAAAATTGACTAATATTTAAGAACTCTCTGGCTTTATTAGGCTCATATGAATAACTTTTCTACAACGACTCTTCACTAGGTCAAGTTATTGAAAATCTTCAATAGTCTTCATCTTTGAATATGTTTATGTATTATTGTAAAAACGTACATGGTAAACAACTTTCAACCTAACCAAAAGTGACTTGTCCATCACAACCCAAAAATTGAGTATTTAATCGCATTAGTTTCAAAGTGCAAACAGTCTTAGTTGTGGAAGCTGTGGGTTCATAACTAAAATTATAACTTTAGAGTACTAATTTGGTATCGAACGAAGTCACAGAGAAGAACTTATTAAGAAAGCTTAAGGTTATATATTTATTTATGTATAGGAAGATTAAATGAGGTCTACTTTCAGCACTTCAAATTAGGATTATAAGCTAATAAGGTTCTGAGCTCCCAATAGAGCAGAGTAATGCGATTATAATAGATCAATATCTAGTTCTATATTTTCTATAGAAAATAGATATATATATATTTCAATTTCTATATTTCCATATTTCTATTTCTATATTTAAATTTCTTTGTTTGATCCTTTAATATCTTAAGGTTTCTCTCGAGGAATGTGATGGCAAACCGGGGAAAAATCGCTAATTGTGTTCAGTGGAAATATGTCTGCTGACCTGGTCCTGCAACCAGTCCTGCTTTTAGACTGAATTCTGATATCCTTTTTAAATTTCAGTCGTCGAAAAGTCTATCTCTTTCTGAACTTAAAGCGAAAAGAAAATTCATTTTACTGAAGTAGTAAGAAATCTATTGAATCCTTCTTATTAAAGCCCCATAAACAGCATTACTTAGCCTTACCTCACTTTATCATTAATGCCACTTATTCCTGATTTATGGATACTTGCACCTTTTCAGTCTATCCTTCGTTTCAATCTTTTTATCAGAATTTTACGAGTGTTCCATAAATGGATAAGATGGAAAATGCTATTGCAAATACAATGAATTTAAATGAAAAAATCAACACTCGTTTCATTTTCCTTATTTGTCAATAAATTTAGCAGGTAACCACAGTAACTCCGTCCATATCCTGTGCGCATAAAATTTTCTACTATTTTTCCTTATCACTTGCAGGTGCTGACTTTATGACATTGCCACGATGTCCTTCCCATTGCCGTTTCCATTCCTATTCCTCATTTTCTATTTGTGATAGCCAAACGTGGTTATCATTGAGTCCGTAACATTACACAATAATCGTAAAAATCTTGGTTAAAACAAATAAAAAATAAAAATAGTAAAAAGGACACAAACAAATAAAAAAAACCAAAAACAAACAATAACAAAACACTAAAGATGAGAAATCCGCTTAGAGATAAAATTTCAGCAAAACAGCTGCACTTTCTGGATGAAGCATAAATAACAAGTGAAGCATCCGAAGTGGAAGAAATGGGGTTCTCCTTCCTTTTATTGCCCACACTTTGTTTTCGTAATCCTCGAGCTCACGAAATGCTTACTCAATGCTTGTTTACATAAACTCAAGGATGTGTCAACACGTTGGCATATAGAAATGTGGAATGTCTTAAGTGCCTTAACTCAACGCTGAGGAATTTTTCTAATCCAGAAATTTAAATGTTGCTTCAAAAAACTCATCTTTCTAGAGAGGAAGAATAAACTACGAACTCGTATTGTTGTTACGCCTGGAATGAGTTGTGTCAAGGCACTTCGAGTTTTAAATTTACTAAACCAACCGTGAAGGTGTTGGAGGTGTGAGTAACATTTCCACACTTACCCATCACTCCGGGGATGTGTAAGTGCTGTTTTATTTATAAATTAGAAGAAAACTCGGTTTCTATTTTTAGAAACTAGTCCTTTTATGAAGTATTTCTGTATTAAAATATTTTCATACTTATGAGTAACTTGAACATATGAACATTCATTCAACATGGCTTATGACGAGATTTCTTCCACCTTGACTCCTAGTATGTGTAGAATATATCATATATGTAGATGCTTCACAACTTGTTCACATTTTTTTTACCAAAAAAGATGACACACCTGTGACTTGTAAAGTAACCAAACGTATTTAGAAGTCTTCCAATGAAAAACTCAACAAATTTGTTGATCCACTTTATATCCACTCAATAGATGATAACTGTTCAATCATCATTGTGTATATTCTCACAGTTTTTATGAATTTCCGTTTTTGATCCTTTATACTCCGCGCTAAATAGGAACATTGCCATTGCCTAGGGGAACATATGCGAAAACAGAACTATTATAATTCTTAGATTTGTTAAGAAAGTAAATATTTTCAGTAAAGTGGGCAAAGAACTATCATGACCTCGTAATAGTTGCTGAGGTAATGGGTCAATGAGACCCCAATGAGAACTGGAGTACTTTATAGTTTATAGGGCTAACATGCAACTATTAATAGAGCTACAGCTGCATCAACTGTGTCATTAGTTGGTATCGTGTATCGTTAACAATTCAAAAAGCAAATACAACCTATCTACCAGCCTACATTCAAACCGTACTTAATATTTGGTAATCACAGATCTTTGATTATGACTTCCTCTCAACTTTTTATTGAATATCATTTCTCATAGGTGCATGATCTACTTTATTTATTTCTAGTAGAGTATAATCTAGCTGAGACATCTGTTTTAATTAGATATTTTATTTTTTTTAAATTATTTTCAGACGTCAACATGCTTTCATGGCTAGTTCAACCAAAAAGGGCAGTGGCGGCGGTAGTGGCAATGGCAGTGTAACTCACAGTCCTGAAAGATTGCGAGGTGTGACACATGATCTCTTCGAGCTGCTTGAACGTGTGCAGTGCTCACGATTAGATGATCAAAGATGCGTACTGCCAGCTTATTTTTCACAGGTGAGCCCAGTTAAACTCTAAAATCTACAAAATATAGTTCTGACGTAGAGAATTGTTAATGCTTAGTGTGCTCGTATGTAGCACTTTTTATTATGATATAAATCTACGTTTAGATTATTATACCTAACTTGACAAATATACAGCTATATCTGCCATTTTTCATACAAAATTCATACAAAATCTATTTAGAAATATACTAAAGAGTTTCGGTACATATGTATAACAGTAAAACATAGAAAAGGTGCCTGAAAAGTTAGAAAATTTCACATTAGTCATAATTGAAACTTAATATTTTAAGAAGGGTTTTAAATGATTCAGTACAATATGTATTTCAGTTATACATAAAAATAATGTAGTGAAAGGCTTTCACTATTTGTTGATTCTTCACGCAAAGTATTGTCACTAATAAATATATATATATACAATCGACAATCGATGTTTGTTTTTCTGTTGGAAACTTTTTTTTACTCAAGTTGATAAGCTTCTGCTCTCAAAAAGTTGTTTTTAAAATATACAATCAATGTAAACCTGTCTCTGATCGAGACTTCTACATTTGTCTTTTAGTGTTACGAAAACGTCTATAGAAAGCATCAACATGAGAGACAAAAGAATTTTTAAAACAATAGATTATAAGAGTCTTCTCCAAACCCTTTCTTGTGTTCCAATCAGAAAATTGTACTCTTCCAATCTAATATCTTCTTATTCTAAGAATCTCGCCCTTATGCTTCGGGATAAAGGGGAATTTGATTCCTTTATAAAAACGCTTTGGAGTGACAGAATGAACTTTTTTTAAAGAGAAGTCTCCTCGACGACTTTTCAGATTACCTATCTTAAATTCAAAATATTTTTTTTTTGATTCACTTTTGTTTGTATAATTTGGGTAAAATTATCAATTGAAAAAAATTAATAATTTACTCATTAATTTGTCATTTAAGATTGACATTAATTGATGCGACCATTTCTTATTTGTCCATTATTATCTTAAAGACATCAATTAGCGGCTTTTTCTTAAGTCGAGTGAATATATTGTTTATGGTTGAGTTGTCAGTTCAAATATTAATGGATTAGAATACTTTGGAAGTAATCGGTTTTGCGAACCTCTACTCTACGAACCTTGAGGTCATAACTCATGCTAGTTTTTCCATTTTAAATCTTTCATTTTTGTTTTTCTTCACACCTATTTGCCTTTTAAAATTCTATCATAACCCTTTACCTTCTACAGATTTGTGGTAGGAACTTTTCTGTTAATCTATTAATCTCTCTTTAATCCGTACGTCCATTATGTTTGTTTTATAACTGACGTCTATCTGCACTATAAATTTAAGAATTTGTTATTTGCAATAATAATAACAACCACAAAATTATGACATTAATTATTATATTTTAAATTAATTGGTATTAATCTATTAATTAATATTAATTAAATAAGCGTCTATGCAAGCGCCTTATTCTTTATATATGATTTTCGTTTGTTACAACTTTCAAACTGTTAATTATGTTGTATACCTTTTGAAAGTCACTGCAAGCGAATATTTATTTCCATGTCTAATTTGTAAAAAGCATTGGTTTGTGTACATACTAAGCGTTACCACAAAATGTTAGTTGTGGTCTTAACCTGAAGATATGCAACAGTTTTTTCTTCTTTAGTGGTGCTTTGAGTTTGTTGTTTATTTCATTCCTCCCTCTTTCCGTTTTGTTTTATTATGGAGTTATTTATGGAAAAACCTTTGCACCCTTATCTGATAAATGTAACTGCATGCATTTATAAGTATCGATACTTTCAGTTAGGGTACTATCGCTAGTAGTCGCTAGTAGTAGTACATTTAGTTGCTATCGGGACGCTCTACATGCCACAGATAGTGGCTATGGGTCCCATCATGATCTTAATCGTTTTAATCGTTAGTCGTCGTCGTCCGTCCGTAATAATGTTTACTTCATCGATTTAATTTCATCGATATTGCAATTTTTGACAATTCTGATGTATTTTATTAACTTCTGAATTGTTATATTGGTGTTAATATTATTTTTTTATAGATATTGATGATATTATTTCCAGCACTAGATTATAATACGATTAGAGTAACGCATATGTAACGAATAAGACATTTTATCAAAACACAATTTATAGAGGAATCAAATATTTAAGAGCAACTATTGTGTGATTTACACTTGGTTTGGTTAGTTGATTTAAAGATTTAAATCTATTCGCAGAGAATATTTATGTTAGAAATTAATACCATATAACAGCTGTCATGTGTAACTTTAGTTAAATAGTATTATTTGATCAAAATCAACACTTAACACTTAAAAAACATTTTCTAATATTTTTTTGGTTAAATTACAACAAATTTAAGTTATAAAAATATAAAATTTTACAAAATATTTATATTTAACCCACTATTTGATATCTCCATATTTCGTGAAATAACACCTAAAAGTATGCACTAAATATTTTTACATTTCCTGCACCAAAAGACTTGTTTGAGGAGACGAATTGTCTGTGAGAAGTTGATTTTAGTTTCATAATTGAAAGTGTTATTGTACGGTAGACTCCCTTATAGAGTGAGTAATATGTTGAGCGTTGTATAAAATCGCGCGGAAAGTGTAAGAATTTAGGGTCTAGCGTGAAATGTCAAAATGACTAAATGACTTAACGAAATCGTATTAAAGCGCAGAGATTAATTTACGGATCCACTCATATGAACTATATAAAAATTTGGTATATATAGATTTTTTAAGAATTATTTTTAATTTTAAAAAAAATTTTTAAAATTAAAATTATTATTTAAATTTCAAACACTTTAGGAATTCATTAATCCAATAATGTTATATCAGTATAGATAGATTATAATTAAGTATTAAGCGAACCACTTAAACCATTCCCTTTAATATTTGATATAACTTTTATTTATCAACAGCTTAAGTTAATGAAAGTGTATAAAAAAGAAAGTGGATTTTGGTTTAAGTAATTGTGTCAATAAATGAGTAACTAACAGTTATTTATGACTCCGAGATTGACGATCATGGTTTTATCGACTAAACTTGTGGAACTCATCTAGACTTCATAGATTTGATCGATATTGCGACAATTTTAATTTTTTTTTACAGTAGGTGGAAGCATCGAAAGCCACCGTGTGAGACTTGAACCGACTAAACCACCACTGTGAAAACTTCATTCCAGTAATCAGGGGAGAGAGGAGAAAAAAATAGACTTAGTACCTAGCAAGCTAGATTTATCTAAGCCAGAAAGCAAGGGCGTACATTAGGAATAGTGTTAGAGCAGATGAGCGGGGGCGACGTTAGCGGTAAACTTTGCGACTAGGGTCACGAAAGCCGTGGTTGTATAGGGGAATGAAGTGGAGGTTACGGTCCCATTTATCGAGGTAGTGGGACAGGTATTGGGGAGGTTTAAACCGCAAGGCTAGAACAAGATCTTCAGGAAGGGTTATAGAAATGGAGACGTCAGGGGGGAGATCATGGAGCCGGGTGAGGTACCTACGAGCGAGTGTCAAAAGGTACTCGTCAATTTTGCTGGATTGGCGATCGACTGGGATCTTGTTAGGGATCTTTATGAATTTATGTGATCCAGCCTGCAAATATATAACTTGGTTGGCTGTTGCTGGTTGTGTCTATATAAAACAACCGCCTTATATGAGTTTATATTGTACTATTATATGTTTTATATCTCCTCACTGACTTTGATGTAAAAGAATCTGTATAATATCAACTGAATAATATCTCTATCAGAGCTATATGTGTGGAGGGAATTACAAAGTCAAAGTTAGTTCTTTTTCTTTTTTAATATTTTTTAAAATTTTTTTTTTAATTTATATAATTTTTCATAATTTTTTATTTATTATTTTTCTTTTTACACATTCGTTTTTTATTTTATTTATTTTTTAATTCTTTGCTTTACTATTGTTTAGCGACAACGACAAAAGAAGTAGGCAGTTCGCTATGTGGCTATGGCTGTGACTATGGCGGTTGGGAATGTTTAATGAAGTGTGCGCAGTCGACACTTGCACTTGCTTGTTGGTCGCCCCACCTGCTCCCCTGCTCCCCTGTTCGTCTGGCTTCACTGACAATTTTTCGAGTGCAATTGACAGTTTAGCCGGCAGCCAATATTAAACATTTCTCATTAATTTTGCTCTTTAAAGTAGTGGATTGGCGATGGTTGTTGGCCGTTAAGTGAGGGACGGTAGACGAGGGGCGAGGGGCGATGGGCGATTGTCGATGACTAACGGCTGACATGTGGGCTACCACGTCAAGTGCCGCAAAAATAAGTTACCATTTGGCTGTGAATCCCTTCGCTTACAATAAGAGTAATGAGAAATAAATTGGTTTTCGATTTGCATAACAAAGGCGAATACAAGACAGAGGAGTCCTAAAAAATTCACATCAGTTTTTGGTAATTACTTCAGTGCCTGCCGGTATCAAAGTCAAAAGGATTCGATTGATGGCCAGCATAGATCTTTTTTCCAGTATTTTCATTTCTTTTAAATATTATTTTATATTTTAAATTTTCTGATTTCGATTGTGAAGTACAATTCAGAAATAGACTTTTAAGGAAAGTTATAATTTTTCTTCCTGAATTTGGGTGTAAAATTCACATAACGCAATGTTAAAGCCGTTGGTTGGATTTAGATAAACCTAAAAAAAAATGGTACCGAGAAAAAATAATGCTTCTATATACGATGTAACGTTTAAACTCCATTATAGTCGTTATCTTGAGATAATATTAAATTAGTTATCTATTTGTAAGCTCAGGGCAGCTTATATACAGATATTCTAACAGGACTCAATTTTTTTTTCCACTAATACAAATCTTTTACGGACCTTCTTCTGTGATACATTTGCCAATATATGATACAATTGACTTAAATTCAACTTAGCTATATCAATATATAAATATTTTTGTTGTTTTTTAGATAAAAAACGTAATTTAGATAAGTCCTCAGATAATAATATGAGATAAAGTAGATAATGTATTTACTTTATAA